CTAAATTCATCCATATGCATGCAGCTCACTTTATGTCGGCCAATAACGGATAGTTGCGGTCGTGGCGGCCTCTCCTGTTTTCTTCGCGTTGATGACGGCCTCGGAAATTGGCAAGAGCGTATCGTGGTCGCAGCTTCGGTTCTTCGGGATGTTTCTGTGACTCTGCAGTCTCCTCCTCGTAGAGTACTTCCGATCAAGATAAAAATGACGGTTGACCCGTGGCTTGCCGTGGCAGCATACCAGCCCTATTTTTCAGAGTTTTCTCCCACAAACGACAGTTTTTCTCCTAAAAAACTACAAAGTACATTTAATTTTTTGAATTCTGAGCCATGCCTTAGGAGTTTTTTTCACTGTCAACACTTTTTGCTCAGCTACACCTGTTGGCTCGTGTTAACTGACAACTCCCATTTAATTATATTACTTGGAACAAGTAAGTAGTCACTTACAATTATGTTAACGACCTTCTTGAAAATGTTTGGCTTGCCGATGCAGTTTTATCTTTTGTGTACCGATGGGGAGTCAAAGGCGTATGTCAGCATTTCCCTTAATAAATTTGACTTGACTTGACTAAATATAAGGGAACGCATGAAATACCCTAACCTGCTCAGTCCCAATAGATATCAGAATGAAAAGGTGTAGTATGATTGACACTGCGCTGCGTCATACATGTAAAGTCTATGTCGACTAGAGCATACGAATTCGAAAGCAGACATTTTAGCAGTAAGTTACTAAATCCCGAACCAGATTACCCTCAAACCCTTCTGGGTCCTTCTTGAAGATGCTGTAAGTGCCTTCGTTTCTGCTACTAGGAAAGTTGCTTGGCGTTTTTGTTCCTTTTCGTTCTTTTTGGCATTTTCCTATTTTCCTGGCGCTGCCATTTTTAAAATGCTTCAAGATCATTGTCCAATTTTTTATTTAAATGTTTTATCCCTTTAAGACTCTTCCCCCTTTTCCACCTTATTATCACTATTTTTATTAGTTTTAGGACTGTTTCTGGTTCCAGTTAGTCGCCCCGATCTGGTTACTCTACCCCTTTTTAACTCGTTGTAGATTCTTTTTGTGACGTTGAATGTTTCGCCCTAACTCCCTGCTTATTCTAATTCCAACTATACTGAGCAACAGAAAAGTATCAAAATATTCTATAGGCCTTCATGCCGATAAAACCACGTTTGTACTTTCGTCCGCTTGACCTTGATTTACAAGTATGCGCGGCGTTGAGAATTCGGTGTGCAAGAAATATGGTGAGGATTTCGAGCTTCCTGTATTCGCGTGGTCTGCATATACAATCGTAGCAGACCTATAGAGTCCAGGAGTCCTTAGCGGAAAAGGGTTTCAACTGAAAATATTGACTTAAAGGATATTTTTTTGGAGCAGAAGTACATATGAACAGTGAATATAATGGGCAGGTAGCGTCATGCGTGAAAGACAGTTTAATTGGTTTTGTTGCGGGTATTTACGGTAAGTACCCATCTAATAATCGCAAACTCCTCAGGTGGTATTGCAGTTGTATGCGTCAGCCAACCACTGGATACGGTTAAAGTCAAGATGCAGGCCTTTCCAGAGCACTACAAGAATTCCTGGCTGTGTCTTAAGAAGACTTGGCTCAAAGATGGACTTTCAAGAGGCCTATATGCCGGAACTGTTCCGGCTCTAGTGGCAAATATGGCTGACAACGCTGTTGTTTTTTGTGCCCTACCATTCTGCCAGAGAATGGTCTCCTGGGCAACGAAAACAGGTGGAACTGAACACCTTTCTACCTCCCAACATGCCCTGTCTGGATCTCTTGCCGGAATTTTTACTGCTCTTGTCCTGTGTCCAACGGAACTTGTCAAGTGCAAAATGCAAGCATTTCATGATATGGCGGAGCTTGGACGCATAAATTTGTCACCAAGTGCATCGTGAGTTACACTCCACGTCTTCCGCTCATACACTTTTCTTGTCATATTTATCGCGTCCGTCATGAGTCTTGAGAGTTTTGCCTCGCTGGCTATTCATTCATAAAAGAACTAGTATAACTCTTGTGCCAACCGATTTCTTGCCCTGATACCAAGTTTCAGAACTGATTTAACGAATCGCTTTTCTTAAATGATTTTGCTATTGAAAGTGCCAAATCAGGTTTTATAAGTCTGCCTTCATTTAATCCCTGTCTTATGTCTACTTCCACACTCTCATTTTGTACAGTTGCTTGGATTTTTTACGGAAATTTGTATGGTTCCTGCCATTATGATTGTAGATTAATGCAAACAACATTCGAACAAGTGAGTGGCTTGTCAATTCAACTTTTTCGAACAGGAAAACATTTATTTTTATTTCCCTTAGGTTTTTGTTCTTGCACTTGTGCTTTTGGCAGCGGTATCTCACTGATCTAACAGACTTCATGGATTTATCTGTCGTGGCCGTTCCATGTTTCATACTCCATCAAAATTCCCACGCGATTCCAACTACAGTAAATTCCCTATCTGATGAAACGTAGTGTGTTCACTAAAAATGTAATTTTGCGCGAAGTCAGCACACGCGGCGTACCCCCAAATTATTATAGCAGTAAAGTAAGCACCATAAGTAGCTTCGTCTTTAGTGTTAGCCAGTGCATACTCTTAACGCTTTAATTTCACTGAAAAGTTTTGTCTGTCGACACATCCTGGTTTTCAGTCCCGGAGGATACTCCTTCGCTTATGTCTTTTTGACATTCTGAATAGCAGCCATGGGTCTGTGGATCATCTTTGTTAGGCAATTATGCAAAACTAACAGATTTACCGTTTTCGAATGACCATGAGTTTTTCTCCTGGTTTCTTTGCTCCATTCAAACTACGTTCCAAATTAGATTGGTGTACATATCACCGACGCAGTGTCGGCCCATTGCATCCAGCTTCCTATTGCTCCATACTAGCCTTTTTAAGCAAGACTTGATTATGGTGGAGAGGTCATGGCCATCCCATCAGATTGTCCAAAGAATGGTTGAATCC